TTGCCCCTTGCTTTTGACAACGGACGCCATGTCCAACAGCACCCACGAAGACCCCATTGCGCACCGACCTTATCGAGCTACTGCATCTGGTTTCATGTCGAAGATTCATGCTTGGTATGACGATGCAGACTGCAAGGACAGCCATCCTTGTCTGCATTTGAGAGCAAGAAGAACCTCCCTCCCATTGATGTCTTAGTGGCTCGATAAACGTTCCATTGACTGGATATGCGTTAGTTCGATCGGTAACAAGCACATATCCCCCACGTTCTCGAATGGAAAGCGCCGAGCCCAGGCAACCATGACTGGCTTGGCGCTCCCCATGGTGTTCGTACCTCGACCACTACGTCGTTAATGTTCAAACAAAACTTCTACTTACGCCCTTCATCTCTTCCATCAAACAAGACCAGCAGCTCACTCCCATCAGCCGCGAAGAGGTAAGGCGCCATGGTAAGCGATCGATTGACCCACAGGTTGACTGGGAATGCTGTTGTCGACGGAAGCCGTGCTTGCTCAAGCAAGTAGATGCCTGCCACATATCAACAAGATTTGGACGAATGATCGTGGAAGATATCATGGGAATGACAGTCGACGAGATCTGTGAGGAGGTTGCTGCACGGATGGGATGGCGGATCATGGAGGCAGATAGCGCCTTGGTTCGAGTCTGCTCACCATCGCTATTTCAGCCAGCCTCATTTGGCAAGATGCAATTCAAAAATCCATGTCTAGCTTGACAACTTTAGCAAATTTTCATTCATAACAGTTAAGTTGCAACTACTTGGAGCTTCAGAGCGCATGGACCGTGCTATGGTATGGCAACGGCATTCGTCATGCTTCAAGTTGCAGACGTCGCATCGGCCACGACCGCACGTACCAGGAGGAGAAGTCGGCGTCGGGGTCACAGGGGCCATGGTGGAGGACTGTGGCGGCGTAGTCGTTGGAAGGCAGCACGCACTTGCGTAGCTCGTAGTCGTACTCACCGTCGTTGTAGGTGGGCATGATGGACACGACGGCGGTGGCACACGCAGAGAGGGCGAGGGACGTGACGAGCGCATGGAAAATGGAATTTGAAGAGAAATGGTGGCGGCGGTGGGCTCTCGAGTTTCCAGCCAACTTGGCTCGAACATCGACGTGTGAGTCAGTGTTGTTGTCGCCACGTGACGACTCCGAGACACCACAAATTCCATCCAAGCCGTGTTCGACGCGTAGGAATCGGGCGATTCCCGGCCTCACCTGATCATGCATCAGTAGCAACACCGACCAAAGACATGCCAAGGTACATTGAGCTGTTGGTTGTTCAAAAAGCGGACGTTCACCGCAAGGACAATAGAGGCACAAAGCATTTCGTTCGACGTCATGTAGTGGGAGAGGCGCAGGTGTATTCCTGGCTGCGCGGCGCCATGGTCTCGCCAAGAATTCCAGAGATCTTTGTGTCATCGAGACACGAATGTATCGGATTGCCGACGTGTTTCACGGTGGCTGCGAGGTCGCGCATCACACCAAAAAAGCACACACGGATGAAGAAGCAGACCCGTTTGGTTCATGAGGAAGAAGGAACGAAGTGGGGTGACGATTCACGTGCAGTGGGTTGACGCGATGAAAATGGAGGCACTGCTTGCATTCATGCCAATGGTTACAACATGCTGATAGCGACATTTCAGTCCTCTTGGCTCACACGAATATTCATGCATGTAGCCTATCGATTCAAACAAGTCATCAAATGTGGCCAACAAGTCGACCGGCGCAGTGGGAGTTGTGTACAATACACTAGACGAAGCATTGCGTGGATGAGGTCCCATGGGCGAAGGACATGGAGAACGCCGAGTACGACCACCACCACCACCATGTTCGCCTCTCTTGTCTTGGTT